TCCAGTGTGGGGGAATCAGCCACTTCCCTTGGGAGACTATTCCAATGTTTGATGGTCCTCATGGTGAAAAATTTACCTAAAGGATTTAACTTTAGGATTCACCTAAATGATTTAACTGGAGCATTTTCTTCAAAAGCTAGGTCAGAGCACTAAGCACACGATGTTCCAGAAAATACTCGTTTTTAAAGATGATGAGACTCGGGCAGTCATGAGAAAGAGGGGCTAAGAGAGACTACCTCGAGAATACCCCCGTGCAGGATAAATTGCATCCGTGTGGGTCCTGACAGATTTTCTTTTTACCCTACTGGTGTGGACCTTCAATAAGGCAGATATCAAAGCTGCCCCAGGCAACCAGTTCTTGCTTCTTTGGTAAGCAATTCCAATTTTTCGTTTTTCTTTATTTGTTATATTTTATACTATATTACATATTGTGTGTAGTTCATAGTTTATATTCCACACAGTGTGGAATTCATCTTTATTGCAAAAGAATGGTGCTGTGATTCCAACTATCTTCTTCCTCATCTTGATTATTAAAACTGAAGGTTTTCCCAATTCCAGCATAAATGCTAGAACCAAATTTCTTCATGTAGCTTCATTTTTACTTTTTTTCTCTTAGCATTTATATAAGTAAGAAATTACTCTTTCTTTTTTTTTTTTTTTTTTTTTTTTTTCCAGATAGTTATATGAGGTCTCTTCAGCTAATTTGGTAATCATAACAAATGAGCAGCTGCTCAAAGTATGCCTATTGTTAAAAGGAAGATACTTTTTTTTGCTTCCTGAAATGGTGCCCATTATTTACAAACCTCGTTCTGCTGCAACAATTCTTAATTATTCCTGCCATAAAGACTGTATCTGGAAAAAATTAGATACCATCAGAAAAAGACAAATATTACACAAGTCCAAAATATGTGCTAAACTGGTAAGTGATGTAACACATCAATATTGTAGAGAGATTTGTAATGATGAAACACAGCTCTATATTGGCAAGTGGAATTCCCCTCTTGTGTATTACTTAATATATAGCTTTATTTTGATATAGGGGTGCAGTTTCCTGTATTTCTTTAAATAGAGAAACTTTGAAATGAAAAGTGTGTGTAAAACAGGATTTGGCTGAATACTGCTTGTTTCATGTCTGTAAAATATTTCAAATGAAAAAGCACTAGTAGTTGTACTTACTGGGTCCAGAATAGTCTGTTACTTATTATTTTAATTATTTAATTAAATTATATTTAGAATATATTTTAATCTCACTTTGGTAATTCTCATGCAAGAAAATGGGTATACAGGTGGACTACACAAGAGATAACTCTGCAAAGTGCATTGCTTTTAGGGCTAGCTCTGAAGGGCAACGGCTTCCAGGGTGTGACCCTAAGTCATGGTTCTTGCCCTGCATTTTTTCCATCCTACTGCTTGGCAGGTCTGCAGCTCAGGGTGTGTGTTTTTCACTGTGTCATCTTTGATCTACCACGTTCATTCTTATGAGCTGACCTAATGTACTTCAGATTTTATATTTTTTTAATGAAAGGGGAAATACTTCAGACGAGAACTTTCCAAGAAATAAGCATCAGAACCAAATCTGGCCCTGTCTGTTAATACTTCTTGTTTTATTTTTCTACCCTGGGTGCAAGAACGTAAAGAAAACTCAAATAGGAGTATACATGATGGCTCAAGTTCAGCACCAGTGCCAGTGTATGGGAAAGCCAATGTCAATGAAATTTCAGCAATTCTTTCAGTTCTGAAATGATGCCAAAAATGGTATTCTTAAAATAAAATTCAAATGTATAATTTCTAAAATAAGCTATTATTTCTCACCACCATTTTTACCAATTAGAAGAAGCACACATGCTTGGATCAGTTTTTACTTTTAGTAGAAGATTTACAACACATTTCAAGGAAAGAATACATTCTAGAGATGTTGTCAGACCCTTTATTAAATTCTGGAAACTCTGACCAAAGTGGTTCTGACATTTGACAGGTGAACAGCTTCTTGAAGAGAAGTTCTCAGTTAACACCAAATGTTCAGAGCTAATCTGCTTCCACTTCTTCCTTGCCCTTACTTCAAAACCGGCATCTCATAAATGAAGGATCGTATGGCTGGAACATATTTCCATGACAAGTAAGTGTGTTTTTTGGTGAATATCAAAACTACCATGGGGAACAGCATAAACTTGCTGAAGCACATGGGGTGTCCTTACAAACATTCCCCCTTTCAGTATCTGTTCGGGATTTCAACCACAAAGTGGTGCTGTTGCAGAAGGTATCAGCTGACAAGGCAAACCCACTCCCTGCTTTGCTCTTACAATGATCCAAGGCATGAATTACACCCAATCCAATTTTCATCCATTTACATACACGCATATCTTCTCTATAAATATTCATCTTTTAAACAGCAAACGCAATCACAGCCATGTCTGTTAATATGTAGAGAAAAAAGCCACATCTTCAAAGCATATAAAATGTTACATGGTTTGAAGTCTGGTCAAGAGCCTAATTAATCAGATCAATATCTAGTAATTATGCCAGTTAAAATCCCCAGAATGTAAAGATTCCTTTCTACATCACGCTTCAAGCAATATTTCAAATTCTTGCAGGCAGAACAGACATGTTCAAAGTAACTTTTTTTTTTTTTTTTTTTTTTTTTTTTTTGCCATGTCAGAACCTCAGATCCAAGGGCTACATGTAAAATAAGATGATCATTAGGGAGCTGTCATTTTTTATGATTTCAGTAACTTGTATAAACCTTAAAAAAAAATCCACTTCTTCTGAGGATTAGCATTTAAAAAAAACACCACAACACCACCAAACCCAGAATAGCAGATGAAGATATAAAAATACCTAGAAAAAACCAGCTTCAGAACAACAGAAATGTCTTACAAGAGAGGTTGGAAAGCTGCAAGGACCAAACATGTCTCCATTTTATATAGCTCACACACCCAGTCTACAATGCTTTTTACAGTGCACACATATTTGGCAAGATTAAGGTGTCACATCTCAAATTACAAGGCGTCTGATTGCCCATAGAGCTAGACACAAGTACAGGGCAAAACCCCTCATCTTGTGCAAACTGCCTAGCCCTGGCAGGCTTGCCTCTCTTCCCTGGTAGGCAGCTCCTCTGCTTGGGACACTTACTCTTAGCGACACAGCCTTCTGGTTTTCCTTCTTCTGCTGGGCTAGCTGCAAATGCAAAGTTCCCGGGCTAGTGCTGTATTCAGATGCTTAACCCTTTGCCTACCTCTGAGAAAGCATTCACCACCCACAAGAAAATTTGCTGTCCGTAGCACTGTTTTCTACTTCAGGAGATTAATAGCTGAACCACATTTTAAGCATTTCTCAGGTCTGACTGCAGTGCTGGGGCTGTGGAGGACAGGATTGCCTCCTCTTAGCTGAAAAAGCTCTAAAAAAGAAAGGAAACTGCATTCAGAGAAATGGGGAAGACAAAGACTTAGAGTTATTCAAGGTTTCAATGTGTTTTTTTCTGATTGGCAAAGCAGTAAGTTTTAGTAGAAAATTCTTAGGAGGCAAGAGTGGAAGATGACTCTTGCATCCGAGCAGTTCGAGGGAATAAGCCACTCAGGTGTAATTTATGAGACATACAATTTGTAGAGTTCAAAGTTCCCTGAGCAGGATTATTTTATGGTTGAAAGGGCAACCCCAACAAACGACACCAGCCGTGTTTCAGTCCACAGCGGAAAATACTTCAATAAAACTGTGACAACTGTCTAGGTAGATTAAAATGTCTCAAAGAAGATAGGGTCGTGCTTTCACAGCACGGGAGGACTAGCCATCCTTTCACAGGGAGGGGAAAGAGGAAAAATTCCTTGGTTAGATAACAAAAGACAAAAACTTCATGAGTTACTAAAGGAAGTATGCTTTAAGGAAATAATGTGGTGACTCTTAAGATTTGAAGCATTGTGTCTTACATGACCATGTCCTTGTGGTTATGACATGCTCAATTATGCTGGAATCAAATAGAAAAGAAGGATGACTTAAGCATGTAAATTTAGAGGGAGACTTAGAGGCATGCAGCTAAATTTATCAGCCATCTCTGTGAGCGATCACTCTAAATAAAAAGTTTGGAAACCAGTCGCTGCTGGTTGCTGATGAACTTACCATGTTTTTGGCACTTACCATCCTTTTCTTAATGGACTAATCTGCAAATCGAAACATGGGGAATATCTGAACACAAATCCATCCTAAGGTCTGTTCTTAATGGTGGGCATTTCTCCCAACACTTAGTTTTGTATCGGGCGGGTTGCTCGGTTGACAGAAATACTGGCTGAGGAAATAAATATGTTTAAAATTTTCAAGTAATTAAATATATATATATATAAAAGAAGAGCCAAAGAAGGGGCTTATGGCATTCTAGTTCTGTCTCTATTTCACCTGTTTTACATGTCCTATAATGACTTCTGAATATGGGTAAGAATAGCAACACATGCTGGCAGTTTGACCAAAGGGTGTGCGTGTGCATGTGTGTGAGTGTGTGTGTGGGAGACAGAGACAGTGGGGGTGGGGAGAGGGGCGTGGGGGGGAGTGGATGGACCATTAGGGTGCAAACACAGAGACATTCCTGCAATAAAATACTTGTCTTCTGAGAATCGCGGTCCGGAAGAGACAGTTATGATTTAACAAAATAATTATCTAAAATGTTCCCTGGTCCTAATACTGGTCTTAAAAATATGAAAAAAAAAAAAAATGCCAGGAAGAGGAATAAACCTGTCAATTTGATAAAAAATAAAACAAATAGGTACATGTTGGTTTTTTTAGATCACGTGGGGAAAACAATACTTTGTGACAGTTTGGTGATTTTCAAAAAAATGCCTTATTCTCTGAAATTCCCCAACGAGGCGAGGTTATAAATGGTAGGTAGGGAGAGCAGAGCGTGGCAATAAAGGGGTTAATCTGCAGAGCACAGAGCCATCTGGCTGAGCTGGTTTGTTATAATCGAGCAGATTATGTTCACGGGACTCAGAGTTTAAGGCTCCTCTCCCATAGAGCAACTCTGCACAACCCAAGCAGACCAACTTTGGGACTTTGAATGAACATATTTACATCCACCTTTCTCTTCATGTCGACTTTTCTGGAAACATTTACACGGATGCCATGGTTACTCCTACCACGGTAAGGGAAATTTGACGTTTTCTAATAGGGTCCTAAGAGGGCGGGGAGGGAAGGAGGGGGGAGAGGGGTCCTTTAAAGAAGTATAATGGGGAGGAGGGGGGTCTTGTAAGCAGTAGATCTGTCCCAAATGTTGTTGCCTTTCCCATTGTGCCTCCTCCTTCCCCCACCCCTACTTGCCCTATAGCTTGCTTTAGTCCTGAGGTTCCTCTCTCCTCCTGCTCTGCACGCTGTTGTTCAGCTCCCTGGCAAAGAAGCAGTGGAGGAGAAATATGAGGTGCTAAAGGAATCTGATTTAGGAGGCAAAAGCAAAGGAGACTCTGAGTTTTATTTGAAGAGGGAAACCAGCAACTTCAGATTATAACAAAAGGGGTTGCAAATCTTGAGCGTTGATTACAAGAACCAGCCTCAGCATACGTAGCCTGCTTGCCCTCAGGGAAAGTTAGAGCCCTTGACAAGCAAAGGAAAAATTCTCTATTTCTAGACCTTGCCTGTCTCAGGTAACTAACTTAACTACAGCTTTCTTTTGTGTGTGTGTGTGTGTGTGTGTGTGTGCGCGCGCGCGCCAGACACTGGAAACCCTATTCATGACCTTTGGATCAATCCTTGCTCTCCTCAAACCCAAACACTAAATTCTCTGGGAGGAACTGGAGATCAAAGGATTCCCTGCACATCTGTGTCTAGGTGAAAAAGATACACTCACTTTGTGCTAGGATGGCAGGAAAACTGTTCCTACGCTGCAATTGACGGCGTTTGGGAAGTGCCTTCTAGGAATGCTGCACACAACTAATCAACACAGAGGCACATATAGAGAGCAAAATAGAAAGCTGTTTCTCATCTAAACAGCTGAAATGCAGCTTAAAGCGTCAGTTACTGGCGAGTCCTTATGGAGACACCAAACTGCTGTTAGCCAAGTGGGGAAAAAGTCCTTGAATGGTTTAGATACTTTTCTGATCAGTTCTTAATCCTTCATTAAAATAAACGGGAAAGCTGTGTTGGTCCTATCTCTTAAACTATAAATATGCAGTATCTGGAGAGATGGATATTTTAGATTGAATAGGGCTGCTATGCGCACATTCTCTGGTTCCTGTATTGCAAAACTGGTTATTTAGAGATGACTGTGTGTGAGAGGGGGGTTGCTTCTCCTCCTCCTTTTTAAATAGACAGGGATGCGTGCTATATGGTCCAATCAATTGTTTACAACCTTTCAGAAAGCACTCTTTGCTCTTTGGCTCATGTGATTTGTTACATGAGGAGTGCAAATGGTATGTAAAGTTTGTCTTTACATTGTGCCTTCAGGAAAATACCCAGGCAAATAGGGGATACATTCTCAAGCACAGAAATACCTGATCCGTGCAAGCCTTTAAGTGGAGGGGTGGTGCAAGAAACACCTATAAATAAGATGTAAGAAAAAGGAAAAGCTAATAACGAAACAAAGAAAAACTTACTTTGTGGCAAGGCAGACAAAAGCAGTAGAGAATGGAAGAGAGTTCGGCATGATTCCAGCTGCCTGTAGTAAAAAGACTTGTCTTAGATACACGTGTCAGTACCAGGAGCTCTCTGTGCGAGCGTGGCAGGGGGAGGAAAACTGGACATGCTTGCAGGTGGTGGACCTAAAATATGGGGAGAAGTGGATTTACTGGCAGAGGCAGGAAAAGAGTGCTTTGTGTAGAAGGGTGCTTGTTATATGTTGAGGTATACAATGCACGTAGGTTTAGGTTTATTTATTTATTTATTTATTTTTCAGGGAAAGAACTAGATGGTATGTAGAAAGATAGAAGGAGTTTGGAGAGAAAGTGTTATACATACCAAAATACATATATTATATGCATGTGTGTGTGTATATGCATATACATATATGTATACACCAAAAAATAAACTGCTATGTATTGAGTGTTATATATTAAGATAATAAGAGCAGGTGAGCCACACAAAGGTGGTCAGCTTGAAAGGGAAACTGCTGTGGGTCAGGTGGAAAAAGAGGATCTTCGTGGGTAGGAAAAGTTTCAGAGCTCAGAAGGGGAAGTAACACTTGGGAGGGATGGGAAAGGTGCAGACCGGAGGCTGGGTGAGGATATGAAAGGGACATACAAGGATGCTAGGGTCTGCCAGGGGGAGGGAGTGTGGAGTGGGAGTCAAGGGAGAAAGGTGAAAGCACAGGGCACAAAGGATGTTTGGAGGAGGAAAAAAAATGTGAACTGTTGTCTATTTGGAGAAAGGTATGGAAAACAACCAGCTACATGATGCTTGTAGGGGGCGTCTAAAGGAGACACCTTTGGTTCTGTCAAGAAATAGATATGAGGATGTATTTGTGAGGAAGGTGTTAGAGTATGAAAGGGAAGGCTTGCATGTTGATGGAAACACAGACCCAGGAGAGGAATGCAGAGGAAAAAATGAGCAGGATGGGGATAGAGTGTGATGATGATAAAAGGGTACAGGAACCCATAAAGGTATGTGAGGGGGTAGCTGCTTAGAGAAATCTCAGAGGAGGTTGGAAGGCTTGTGGAGTAGTGTTATAGACGTGCTCCATGGTTGTGAGGAAGGGGCAGAACTGAGGAAAAAGGCATGTGAAACTGTTGTGATGAAATTCAAGATAATGGAAATCATGGGGGCAGGGTGAACTGTGACAGGAATATAAAGATGTGGCAGATCTTGGGAAGCATGAGAATAGGAAAAAATGAGGAATGCAGGAGGCATAGGAAAGCCTACAGAAAGCTGGGGAGGGAGTTTTTACAGTGGCTTGTAGTGAGAGGACAAGAGGTAATGAATCAAAACTGGAAGAGGGGAGAGTTAGGTTAGACATTAGAAGGAAATTCTTTAGTGTGAGGGTGGTGAGACACTGGCACAGGTTGCCCAGGTAAGTTGTGGATGCCCCATCCCTGGAAGTGTTCAAGGCCAGGTTTGGTGGGGTCCTGAGTAACCTGATCTAGAGGGAGGTGTCCCTGCCCATGCAGGGGGGTTGGAACTAAATGATCTTTAAGGTTCCTTCCAACTCAAACATTCTATGATTCTATGTACTTCACTTTGGTACTGCTTGCAGAAAAACAGAGAAAGTAGTGCAAAGGTGCAGGAATGTCTTGGCCAGCAGAAACAGAGGATGCCTCCTTACTGGGCAGTTGGGATAATACAGGGGAAGAACAGGCAGTATCTTACAAGGGAAGTAGTTGGGGAAAACAATGGAAAGTAAGGAATAATGAGGGATGTGGTGGGAAGAGAACACATACACAAATCAAGACGGAGTGACTTTCTGTTCAGGGAAGTGTAACAAATGTACTTATACCTCTGTGGTAGGTACTAGCTAAGTGAAGCAGCAAGAGGGAATGGAACAAATGTGCTAGCAGAGAAATTACTGAAGATATAAAGGGCTGGGAGGAGAAAGAATGGGAGAGATAACTACCTGGAAGATCGTATAAGCCATATGGCTGTACTAAGGTAAAAAGTAAGTGTGAAGTGTGTGGGGAGGTGAGTGGAGTTAGGATCTATAGGGCACGAAGTGGAAGTGAATGGGAATGACAGTTCATGTTACAAAGGGTGAGAAGCTTAGTGTAGGTTAACACATGATGGTGTGCAGGCAAGGAAAGTACCTGACAGTTTGTTCATACTTATAAAGGCTGTGGAAGGAAAGGTGAAAGAAGTGAAAAGTTGTATCTGATAAGAGAGATTTATATGGACAGCATGCTCCAAGGAAATGAGAGAAGTACAGGTAACAATTGCAGTTCTGAGTGTGAGGCCTGGGAGAAGGAAAGCAGCTTATGGGGGAGGAAAGAGCGATGAGGAGTGGGAAAAAGTTTTTGATGGCTTAAGCCATCTGTAGTTATCTGCCTCTTAGTTTAAGGGAGGCTGTGTAAGTGTGCAAAGAGAAATATATGCATACATAGCAGCATGAGAGCAAGTTGGGAGCTAAGTGCAAGGGGTGAGCAAGTAGAAGGCACAGGTAAATGCATGTAGTCAGTGACAATAGCTGCATGGATATTTGAAGTGCTGGTTTTGTGTGCAGGTCAGGGACAGATGTTTTGCTTACGTGACTGGCAGAGCCGTAGAGGGAGGCCCATGATGAGAATGATCCAGCCAGTCTGCAGGAAGAAGCTGAAATCATGTAAGGGTGCTGGGTTGCTGTCAGGGATGTGTGGAAGATGGCTATCAGAGGCTGATGGGACAATCACGTGTCCACTGCATTTGTGGCACAACTCTCAGTGTTGAAAGAAGTTATGTAAGACACACAACAGGGGTGAGTTGCGTGAGTGCTAAGAAGCAATGTTTGCATTGAGAAGGAGGGCAGGGAAATATGACTAACTGAGAAAAGGGTTTGGTGCGTGGGTAGCAATAGGACTGAACATGTGTTAGATGTGCTTGCCTTCTGCACGATGTGCACAGCAGGCAGTTGCTCCTTCTGAGGTTTTGCAGGCTTTTGCTAAAGAATAGGGAATAATCCTGAGAAAATCCCAGGATGTCTAACTAAAATATTTACAGCAGCTTCATTTGGAGGCATACCAATGCTCCTTCTTTTCATGCCTTAAAGCTTCAGCATACTACTGCTGACTTAAAATGGCAGAGTGATTTTTCTAGGACCGGTTAGCAGGGCTACTAGGTAATTAACAGGGCTGTTGGGTGAACAACCATTGTGTTGAAATATACATAAGGAGTACAGATGTCTGTCAAATGAAACAAGAAAGTAATAGCTTTCTCCATGGCTTGAAACAATAATGGAGTAATGTGCAGCTGGTTGAAGGTTGAAAACATAGGATACATCTTGAGTGTGAGAGAGAAACACTAAGAATATCTTTCCCCTCCATTCTTTAAATCTGTGCTACAAACATATTCAAATTTTCTGGCTTGCCAAGGTCCTACACTGGAAAAGAATGTGTGTGCCCATTTCCACCCACAGATGCTGTTAAACCTTGACAGTAAGAAAATGGATTTAAAAAAAATAATAATTTTTTTTTTGTACTGCAAAGTATCAACTAGAAGTAATAAAAACAGTATTCTTCAGTGTGAGGGTGATG